GAAATGTATTTACAGTTGTGTATGTTCTATATGTGTTGTATATGTATGATGTATGCATTAGTAGTAGGAGATGACATGATTCAGCCAGGCTGGGTAGGGTAAGAGTGTAGAGCTGGACTGTGGACCTGCCCTTGACCTGGTGCATGCCAATGTTGCTGAAGGCCTGCAAGAGCTCAGCTCTCCAGAGGCATCCTTCCCTCAAGCTGGCTGGTTCAAGACTGAGGAGTTTAGAGTAACCCCTGGGATGCTTTGACCTGGTCTGACCTGACATCCGCCCGCAGTCTGGATGGCACGAAGCTATGTCTTGTATGAGATGTCACCCTTCTCCCGAGTGAAGCACCAAATTGCCTCCAGATGCTGCAGAAAAAAAGCGGAGACTTGTCCCAAAGCATGACATCAAAGAAAAACTCATCTCCTAAATTCAGAAAGTGTGAGTTGAAGCATGTGGTAGCTTTCTGTTGGTCTTTGCCAGATGTTGCCAGTCCTTCCATCTTCAGGAGCATGAGGTGGCTTGGGATTTAGGGAAACTTAACTCTACAGGCCATCTTTCCAGCGCCATCACAGGAGTCCTAGTTCTGTATGGAGTTGCGTGTGTCTGTCCCTTCACTCGAACTTTCCCCTTTCCCATGGCTTCTGCTTTTTCTGCTAACCCTCTGGGGCACATCCCTGTGGTGTGGCTGTAGCTCAGAAGGGTTGTGAGGGCTGTTGACATCTGGGGATTTATGTGTGTGCATGCATGGGTGGGTGAATGAGCAGGTGACTGGCTCTACATTGAGTCTTAAGAGGGCAGCTGATAGTACTGTAGAGGCTATTGGAGGGCAGCGGGACAGCAGAAGGAAAGCAGAGGACCGTTCTGGTGGATTCATAACAGCCCTGAGCGCTGAACTGCTGGCAGCTGTTGTGCAGCTGGTTAAGGGAAAATGGGTGGGAGCAAGTCAACCATTTTACACTTCCAGTGGCAAACGATGGTAGCCCCAACCACAGATAGCAGGTAGAAAGAGAGAAGAAGGGGCAATAAGTGTATTTTTTCTCCTACTTAATGCAGCAGAAGACTGCCACTGCTACTCTTTCTTCAGGAAGGAGCTGTAGCACTACCAGCCACCTGAACATAACAGAGACATCAAGGATGCTTGTATGATTTTGGGGATGACTGTGGCAGGTCTCCGTTCTAGTCTCGCCCATCACATGTTAGGAAGTGTAGTGCATGAGACCTTTCCAAAAGTTGCAGCAAAGCCTGCTACTTTCTCCCCTCCTTCCTTCTAGCTGCTGACATCTCAGGGAGGCTCACCTTTCCTGTGTGGGTGTAAAGAGGCCCCATCTTCCTGGTGCTAGTATTCTTAGTGGAAAGTATTATCCCTTCTTACAATGCACTGCAAGTGGAAAGACACTGCAGAGGTTTCAGAAGAAATTGCACATCTGTGCGGCATAGCATAAGCCCTGCCAGAAGTTAAGCGGCTGGCTGCCTTGCATATCTCTGTCTCATGTGAAATCTGTATCCCAGCTGGGAACATGTTGGAGGATTTTGCTTTTGGCTTCTAATTTTCAGCATGAAAACCAGAACAATTGGACCGCAGCATCATTCGGGAGCTAAGTTTGGGGAGGGGAGTCAGGCTTATGCTATGATTTAACAGAATTGTTGGCTTTTCAGTGTCAGTGGTCTTAAGTTCTGATTTTGTCAAAGACACGGACAAAAGGACTTTGAAGAGAGGCCTGCCCAGAAGCAGAATAATAGCTGTATTAAAATTTCATTAAAATATGAAAGGGCAAAAACTGTGAACGGTCTTTTGTGGCATTGCAGACTCCTCTGTTCTGTGCGCAAATTTGAGAGGTACTCCCAATGAAAAAGACCAGCTGGCTGGGTTCTTGCTCGCATAGGGCTGAGGGGCATAAAAATCAGATGCAGGAGGCATAAAATGCTCTGTGTGCTAATAAATGGGTATAGTTCATTGATGTCAACAAAATGTCAGCAAGAGCTGAATGGGGGCAGTATACAATTTAGTGACCTGGAAGGAGACTATCCATGATTGCAGCAGACAGCTTTCATTACAGCTGGAGAAGTGAAACAGATTTACATTGTAAATGGCAATAATTGCTAAAACCGATCATTGGATCTAGCGTGCAGCTAACACACAGTACAGTGGAAGGTGTTACCGTGACTCTGAGAGGCTGGCTCACCGTATTAATTTTGCAGGTGAGTAACCAAGGTACAGATATACCAAGACAAAGGCATAAAACAAACTAGGCAATGCCTGCCTGACATCTCTTAGAGTTGATATTTCATACATGCCTATTGTCCATGCTGCTTCATCTCCATACTGATAGCCATTGAGAGCTCATCTTTGACAAAAAGCAATTGTTACATGTGCTTTAAGCCATATCCTTTTCTCTTCCACGGTGGAGTTAGACAACATCATGGGAAGAGCAGGAGCTTCTTGCAGAAGGGACCATTGTGCTGCAAATACCCCAAGGGTTACAGGGACGCAAGCTAGAACCAGGGCTGCATTGATGGTGGGGTTTACAGTTGCTCCCTTGTTTAATATGTAAATGTATATTCACTGTGTGGTTAGACTTTCTAAGGTTGTGGCAGTTTTTTGCTGTGTCTGGCTCAGCTGGGTAGCTGATGCAGCGTGTCAGAGAGAGCTTGGCTGTGAAACAATACTGACAAGCACCTTCCTTTTTCATCCTTGCAAGTATCGCAAGGCACCAGTTGACACTAGAGTGAGGAAAACGGGACTCTAAAACAGCCTCTGAGAAGGCCCCCGTCTTCGGGAATGATAGGGGAGGCAGACCTTTGTGGGGGCAGCTTGTGGGGAGTGCAGCCAGCTGGGCTCTGGTCTGGAGGCACCCAAGAGTGCAGACACCAAGTCACGAACAACCCCCTCCTTGTCCTCCTCTTTTGCCAGTGGTGTAGGAGCTTGTTCTGATTTTGTAGGTAAACATGCGCTAAATTGGACTTTGGAGGTTGGGCAGGGATGGAGGGCCTCCCTGCTTGCAGTTAGCACCTGAGACACCTTGGCTGATTGTGCGGTGCTTTTCCTACTGCAGCTTCCTCTTGGCCTTGTGGCTGTTTGCCTGTTCTAGAGGCATGTTCAGAAAGTGTCTTCTCACCTGCAGGACAATGGTGTCATCCTGTGGCTAGAGCTTTTCTGCTTCCAAGGGGCTAAGAGAAACTTGGCACGCTGTTACAATTTAAAAATAATAGCGGGCTGCATCCTTAGATGGTGTAGATCATCATTAGATCAGCTGATGCTGCTTGAGGACTCAGAGCACTGCCTTAACCTGCAGTTGGTTTTGTCTCCTGTTTTGCAGTCTGCGGTGTCTGTAGGTGGTCTTGAGCTTTGAGTGAACGTTAGTCCACTTGAGTTTCCACCAAACCTCCAGCTGTGTTTCCCTTACAGCTCCCATCTCTTCATATTCGTTACCTTCAGCCCAGCCTTCAGGAGAAGTAATAGCTCATCAGAAGGTGAAAGGTAATGGTCTTCATGGAGCCTCTTGTTTCATAATGGCTTGTTTTTTTCTTTTCCAGAGGGACGGATGCTCATTCAGGACATCCCTTCCATCCCCAGCAGAGGGCACTTGGAGAGCACGTCTGATTTGGTTGTGGACTCCACCTACTACAGCAGTTTTTACCAGCCATCTCTGTATCCTTACTATAACAACCTGTACAACTACTCCCAGTACCAAATGGCAGTGGCCAGTGAGCCTTCCTCAAGTGAGACAGGGGGTACAATTGTAGGGTCGGCCATGAAAAACAGCCTTCGAAGCCTCCCAGCAACATACATGCCAAGCCAGTCAGGAAAACAGTGGCAGGTATGATGTTACAGAGGTGTTACATGGAAGAGTGAGGTGGACAATAATCTGTTTCTTGGGTCTGATTCTGACCTCCTGTTTGCTGGTTTCGTGGCAGTGCAAAACCAGAACCAGATTCGAGGGTGGGATTAGGACCCATGTTAGGAAAGTTGGCTGAAATGGGTGGTTATGATGCAGTACAACGAAAGCAATGATACAGGTATAGGTAGGTTGCCACAAGCACAGATAAAGGGCACCCACTTGATCTATCTTCTGATTTACATCATAGCAGATTATGGGCTGTTTTCTGGAAAAAGAGTCCAACTGAATTACCCAACATAGCATCCTGGGAGCTTCAGGTGTCATATCTGAGAGGCTTTGCTCTTCAGGAACCTGTTCTTTTCCATCTTTCACATCCAAGGCACTGAAGTGACCCAGGAGACCGGACTGTTGTGCAGTGGGTTGGTGTCAGTCAGTTGAACGTGACACAGCGTGTTGCTAATGGTCTGTTATGGCAGTGTCAGCTCCAGGGCTTGCAATTTCGACTTGGGTAGCTCAAATTACAGGCTGTGCCTAAGAGGTTTGCACCAGAGCTCTGTGTACTTCATTAGTTAGGGTACAAAGCCAGCTGAGCCCTCTCACTCTAGGACTTGATAATTGTAGCCTCCAACTCAGTACCAGTCGGAGACTGGAAAAAGGGGAAATCTGCCAAGGTAGGGGATTCTTGGGAAAGTAAGTGGAGCCATTTCAGTGACCCTGAGGCTGTTTGGTCTTGGGCTGCAGTGGTGCTTTTCTATCTGAGATTGAACTTGGGAGCCTGCACCCTCTGAGTCTGCATACGCCCATGTCCCTTGTCCAAGGGCAGGAGAGGGCAGACCTCTTCTGTAGAGCATCAAGGGCAGGCTGCCTTCTGCAGAGGCTCTGTTGTGAAACCACTCAACAACAAAAGATTAAATGTCCACTAAAACCTCCTTTCTGAAGGGAACAGATGGGTCATCCCCTTTGCTGACAGAGAATTCCTCCAGCAATTCTGGCACAGGGACCAACTCTGAAAGGGCATTTTAACTTCTGATACCAAGGACCTGGAACTAAGACCAGGATGATTACAATTACTGTAGCAGTCCACAGCACCTTCAGTGAGGCTTTCCTATCATTAGAGACCTTTTTCATGGAAAGGTCCTTCTGAAAATGTGGGAGCCTCCTGGGGCAACAGCTGTCAGGTCCATGAATTTTAAGATTGTGGCTTTACAGCAGTCTGCATTTAGTACTATTCCATGTCCCTTTTTTGCCATGAGTACAGCTGTATGGGGAAAAGAGCTGTCTCCCTTCCTTCTGCTGTGTGAGCCCACACCACAAGCGCTTTCTTCTCTCAGTGTGTTGACAGGCTTCACCACAATCACCTTGAAATACATGAAGGTACACCTTTTCAGTTAGGTTAGTTAACAGCATCCTCTCTACCTGCTGAATTTGATCCCCAGACCAGGGGGACAATTAGTCAAGGCAAGCTGGAAGGCGGGCTGGGGATAGGATTTTGTGTGTGGTAATGAAGTGAGGTGCCAGTGCTTTTTTAGCTTTTTCATTTTCGTTGATTGGGTTAAATAATAACTCTGTCATAGCAGAGTTATTTCAGATAGAAAGTTACTTCTTCTGAAGCTTTTGCAGTATCTAGCTTGTAAGAGCCTACTGCAGAGCTGATGCTTAGAGGCACGGTCACAACACAAGTGAGGGACAGCAACATTTATCTTGTGAAAATAATGTTCTTGCAGGCTGCTAGTCCCACACATCACCATTCCTCCAGGCAGTAGAGACTTCTGTGATTTTATTTGCTTGGGAAAAAGGAAAGTAAATTACACCTATTGACTATCCTAGGTCATAGTGTTTGAGGAAGAGATACAAGGGTATGTTAAAATATGTTAAACCTTGGAGTAAGGATGGTGTCATCTCGGTTCTGTTGCCATGTACTGTCATTTGAAACTAGACTATGTGTGTAAGAAGTCTTGGCCTAGAGGGTCCGTTGTCTCACTCTGAGATTGTCTGTTTCTTGTGGGACCTTGGCACCCCTTAAAGAAATAAAAGCAATAGTGTGTTTTCCATGCATTTTTCTCTTGGGGCCCTGCAGAATCTGTAACTAACTTCTGCTTAAATGCCACTCAAATTAGTGAGATACTGAAGAAGTGATTAAGGAAAAAAGAGGTGGTTGTTATCAAAAAGGACTGTTTTCCTTCCCCCAGCAGGCTCCAAGCTCTGGGTGTTCATTCCCACCTTGTGGGATGTATCACATGGTTCTGTTCACCTCCATGTGAATTTAGCGATTTACATCACCCTAAGCTTTTAATTTCTCCTGGCCAAACCTTTTGGGATCTGTCAGTGCTGTTCTGGTGAGACGTCTGTGCAGAAAGGCTGGAGGTAGTGCTTTCTGCCTGCAGAAGTGACATCTCCCCAGATTCTAAATGGTCTAAAACCAGGACCCACCTCTCCTGTTCAGTAGGGCAGCGTGTAGTTCAAGGTCAGTGGCGTGTAACTTACAAGCTGTTTCTCAGAGGCTGATCTGCAAGAAGGATTGTTATTGCTGGAAGAGTTACGAATCATGGGGTTTGCATACTGTTATGACAGCATAACGTTGCACAAATAATCATAAAAAGTTTTACAGTGAGAGCTAGGCTAGATAGTGCTTGATGGCAGTGGGTGCAGTGATGCTGAGGTTGTAAAACACTGTGTGGCACTGAAGATGGTTTTTTGTAAGGGGAATGAGCTCTCAGCTGCTGCATGTGGTTAAACATCAATTCTGCACATGGAAGGTTACCAGCAAGGGAAGATCACAGAAATACAGTGTTAAATGGAGAAGGATGAATGAGTTTCTCTGTCAGGCACGGTAAGGAGTCACAAGACAGTTTCAAAGCATGATCCACAAAGAGAAATCAGACCTTGCTTACACCTTCAGGGGGTTTTGCTGGCAAACCTATGCAGGCTGATCCTCTCCAGAGGAAGCACGTAGCTGTATCTACACAGGGATTTTTGCTGGACTGCCTGTACTGACTGGGTTTATTTTTCACATGCACAGGCTTTCTTAACCAGTCTTCCAGTACGATTGAGTCTGCTTATATGACTGGTAGTGCTATAACTGTTTTGATCAAGGTTTTTGGTTTTTGCTTCTTTACCAAAATGATAGCTGTGCAATGACTGCTGTGACCAAATCAGGGCAGCTTGCTAAGCTGTGAGCCCACAGGAGGGTTTCTGTATTGGTATAAGTCACCTGTGTGCTCACTGGAAGGTATCCTAGTTTAAGCAGTGTAGGCAAGACCCCTGCCTTTTTCAGGCTCTGTTGGTGGAGGCTCGCTTGTCCTGGAATAACTGTAACGACACAAGGAGAATTGCATACTTAAAATAAGGTAGCTTCTGGATGCAGACAAGGCCTTGAGCAGCCCAGCTATCTGCTGTTTCAGAATTTAGGGAGCAATGGAGAAAAGCCGGGGAGGAAACGTGTGAGTTTGTGTGGGATGGGACGAGGATTAATGCATCATTGAGCCTTGGCAAATAAACTGAATCACTGAATCTTTAATGTAGATTAATGTCAGATTTCATTAGTCTTTGTTCTTTGCAGAGGCTCGCGTACTTGAGTGGATTCATAGAGGTGCAATTTTTTTAGATATTTCTATGTAGGTTTTGTTCATTTGTATATAATTATCCCAGAAGCTGTATCCACCATGATTTGATAAGCATAATGAAGACGATAGTTTTGGTCGAGACCCTTTCAGTCATTTATATTCTGCTGCTTTTGCCAGCTCTAAGGCAGATAATCAGCTATGTCTGGTGTTGCACCTGAAGAAAAGACAGGCTTAGGTCAGAGAGGAAATGTAGCAGATGTAGTGGTTACTGTGCATCTCCTTTCACTCCAGTTCTGTGTGAGCATCTGGACCCTCCCTTGAAGCTCTAATAATTGTTCATTACAACAGGAATTTATGTGCCTTCAATCCAATTAACAGTTAAACGAGTTCACCAACGTTAGTACTGCAAGTCAGAGCTTGTTGGTATACAGTGGAAGTTGGTGCTTCTGAAACTGGTCTCACTGCGGCCTGCTTAGGGACAGCAACTGGAAAATGATGGGGTGACTGCAGTCTTTTCTACCACAACAAAAGTAAAACTTGGATGGACATGTCCGAATCTAATAAGGTTTAATTCTCCAGGCTGGCAATGAAACTGCTGGTGTGTGACCCACAGCATGAGGATAATCGGGACTCCTTGTGAGTCAGCGTCCTCCCCAAAAAGTGTTAAAACTCTTCTGGTTCCTACAGCCATACCATTAAAAATCTGCAAGATATAGAATGTGCCCCCACACCTGGGGACCAGTGGCTGAGTTTTCTTTGTTACTCTGGTAACTCCAGGGATCCTACTTCAGAGAAAGGTTAAGGCTGGCCAGGAGGTTTTGGACAAATTTCAGAATTTCATGTAATTTCTGTTTCATGCTATGAGGGTTTTTCCTTCCTTCCTTCCTTCCTTCCTTCCTTCCTTCCTTCCTTCCTTCCTTCCTTCCTTCCTCCCTCCCTCCCTCCCTTAATGCAGCTTGACAAAGCAGTATTCTGACTTCCAAAACCTCAACTTTTTCATTCTTTTCTTAAGCCAATTTGGAGCAAAAACCTGAAGTAAGTATTGGTGAGAGTCAGACTGAGAAATTTTAACTCATTTCCTAATATGGGAATTACATTTACCATTTGGAAGTGAAATATTTAGCATTGCTGAGGTAGGAAATTGGTTTTTAAGAATTTCTTAAAAAGTGGCAAACACATAAAACTGTCTTTTACTAAATCCAGAAAAGTGTGGCCATGATAGGGCAGCTAGCAGATTGAACTCTTAAGAATAGCTGCTTGCTAGTAAAAAAGATTGCTCTTTTCAACTTCCACAACCTGTTTCTAGTTTCTGGCACAGTTTTTCCTCCAATAAGCCTGGCCTTCTTACAGAAATGTGCGGTCTAACTCTCCAGAAATAGGTGTAAAATGTGTAAAATATATGTGTGTGTGTAAATA